ATTTCTTTTTTGAATAAGAGGGCAAGAGATAAGGAGGAGGAGAGTGGTTGGCGAAGACGAAGGGAAGTATCATTGGTCTTCACTGGTGTGCATCATCTTCTTCTTCTTTCTTTCTTCTTCTTCTTCTTTCCCTCTCTCTCCTCTCAAGTTCATTCTTTTTTTTTTGCAAGTGGACGGCATTGTACTTTCTCATGAATGTGTACTTCGGAATTGGCCAGGATTATAACACTGGTATCAGAGCGGATTCTACTTGCTGGTGAGAGTTGACTTATCCACCCTAACTCTAACCTAAGTCGTTAGGGCTGACCACTTAGGTTAGGGTTGGTCCAACGTGGGAAGTGGGGCAGTGTGGATAGGGGAAGCTGCCCCCACCTGGTTAGGTCTTGTTGGGTCGACGCTAGACCTGACCAGGTTGAGTGAGAGTGAGCTCAAGACAATTTGTGAGAGGTGACAGTGAGAGGCACTCGCACCTGGAATCTGAACTAGTGGAGACACTTGGCGACTTAAGGGCCTCCCTCAAGTAGGAGAGCTTGAGGGATGTAGACATTCTGCATCTATGAACTGCAAGTTGCTACTTCGTTCTTCAGCATCGGCACGGGATCCGGCGCTGCACTTTGGTGTTCGAGTCCGGCCCTCCTACATGATAGGACACTAGTGTAGAGGTAGCGAATAGGGGTTAGGAGGACCATATGACGAAGGGGGGTTGAGTTATACTTCATCTTAGAGTCTGGGCCAGACAGGTACGTGCCATGCACCTAAGGGTTGCCCATGTGAGTGTGCATGGTATTGTTTGTCCTGTTGGGGTACTTCTGGGTCTCTTTCCTACTCTGAAGTCTTGGTTGTGTGCATTTGTGTGCAAACTGCTTGCTGACCTGATGGATGGAGAGAGGAAGTGTCTTGCTTTGAATGCCATATCTTTCTACAGGACTTTGTCTTTTCATTCTGAACGGATGTAGTCTGCAGGTTCTCGTTTTTCAGTGCGGTAGAGGCAGAAAGCAGGACCTTGGGGTACTCTTCTTGCTTGGAACTTGGTCGCGGCCTACATAGGATCCATAGGGACTCACTGGGACCAAACCCAAACAAGAAGGCCCCCTTGGCCTCAAATCTGTTGACACAGTGTCGCTCTCTTTTTCGTCTGGAATTCGTTGCTTTTCTTTTGGTTCGCTGCCGAGAGGATCTCGGCTGAGATGTTTTCCGGACTGATGACGTACAATCCAATGCTTGACCTGCACCTTATACGCCGTTCAATTCTTCATTGTTGTATGACGTCACTTGTAGTCTGATTTGTTGTACTTTAAAGGTGCCGATCGGATTAGGCTCGACAGGATCTCGTACTCGGTCTGACCGAACTGGAACGTGGAGTCAGAATTCTCTTCTGAATCATCATTATTTTATTTTTTGATTGGTTGCTCTCTAGCCCAAATATTTTGCCGCTCTGGCTAGGGATTCTACCTTCTCTTCTTGTGTTATTTAGTCTGTTTCTTTTGGTTAAGTCCAATTTATGGCCATCACGACGCGTGGACAAGAGAGAAGAGATAGAGAGGCAATGGCAATTGAAGGATCTCCTAGTTCCAACATGGCACCGACCAAGCTTTCTGAGATTTTAAAGGCTCAAATGGATGCAGCGGATGACCAGGATAAACCGCTGTACCAGGCCCTCTTTCAGAAGGAACTGGCCAAGGAGGAGGAGGAGGAAGAGGCTAAGCAGAAAGCAGCCGTTGAAGGTCTTGAGGCCATCTTCAAAACAGTCTCAACCATGTCTGATGCGGATGTTAAAAAGGATCTGGTCAAGTACGTACGTGCCCTCATAGATTGCCATGTGCTCGGTGAGCTTCCGAATATCGAGTCCCACCTACTTGTCGAGATGAGTCGGCTGCGTACTGAAATAGCAGATATGGCCAAAAATCATCCTGATCAGATGGCTACATATGGCAATCATGCATTAGGCCCAGATCTCAAACTCCCTTCCCCTACCTCTTGTTGCTAACCGTTCTATCCTAGCACCACTTCATACTTTTTCTTCTTCTTGTTCTTCTTCTTTGTTGAGCTTGGTTGTCAGCCTCTCAATGCGACAGGTGCAGATTCTACTCCCACTACAAGTGACAGCGCAGGAAATTCTGCAACTGAAGCAGCCCTGAGATCAGAACCGGCAATGGCTGGTCCCAACTTTAGCAGTCCATACATGGACAGAAAGACGGTGATGATACCGTCCAAATACGATGGCAGTAAAGATGTCGAGTCCTGGATCAGTTCCATAAGAGCTTACTTTGAGGTGCAGTGCACTCAAAGAGTGAACCGGTCCTTGATCCTAGGGACAAACGTGGACGATGTGGTAAGGGGATTCCTAGAAGTCCAAGCTATTACAAAATCAATCTAACAGAGTGGCTTAAAGTCACCCCGGCAGCCACTCTCGAAGAGATACTAATTATGCAGTACAAGGTTCCACATGTTGCAGCTAGAGTAAAGATCCAACTCGACGATCTTAAGCGCAGCAAGTGGCAGGGCACCATGCACAAATTACAGTTGCATGTCAGCAAACTCATTGCGACACCTGGATTGGAACTGACAACGCAATCGTGTTTGGATGTTGTCAAAGGTACGGTTCCCATCGCACCAATCGCCTAGGCAGGGATTTCTTTGGTTACGCTGGCTAGTTTGCCTTCATAAAGGACGTAGTTAGTCTCGAGGCAAGCGACAAAAAGACCTTTGTCCGTGGACGGTTTTGTGGCAGCAACCGTCTCGCTGCGCTTGACTTACTGAGGCGGAAGGGGAGGCCGAGCAGATGACCCCACTCTTGGCGACGGCCAAGAACAGGACGCTGATACAACCTACTCTTCAACCCAAGAATCCGACATCAATAATGAAGAGGAAAAATTCAGCACCTTCAAAAAGATTGCCCATGGTAAGGGAAACCAAAACCGGAACTCGGTAAGGAACTTTGTCACACTGCCTAAAGGTGTCAAAATCCCAGCCAAGCCGGAGGACGCAAGTACTAAACCTTGGGTTGACCTCCGAATCACTGAGGTTGAATGGAAGGCTAGGGTAAGGAAAGGGGTTTGTCGGTCAAAAGAGTAGTCATTAGGTCCAAGGATGCTTTAGGCTGCAGGGGAACCAGAACCGACCGTGGAGAGTTCATCAGCACACTCTTCAGCATGGGAGTGTGAACCGGTCAATGACAATTCCCCCAGGGAACATGTCACGGCCCAGCAGTCCTCCCTTGAAGCCCAACCTTATGCTGATTCCAAGGCCGACACTTGTCATGTTTTGTATGTGGAGCCTTGGGAAGAGCCTGAGAAGGTTGACTTCCACTATCACCTAGAGCATTAGGTTGAGATCAAACAGCAGCGTGCTCAAAGGACAACAATGTTAATACTCTTCAAACTTCTCATCAACCACTACTATCTCTGTGTCTTGATTGATTGTGGTGCCACAACTAATTTTATGTCACCACATGGGATACACGCGGTGGTCTTGGGGATGAAGCAAGTGGCTTCGCAGAACCCTTGCCAGACTTAAGTAGGCAACAAAGAGGTTGTCTCATCCACGCATGCAGTCAAAGGTGTGCACACTACCTTTGACAAAGATAAGACTATCACGCACGCGTTAAACTTTTATGTCCTTGACAAGTGTCCCTTTAACGTAGTCCTCGGGTTGGGCTGGTTGCAATCCCGATGTGAATGGACTAAGTGGAAGGAACCACTTTTCATGGTTGCAATCCCGATGTGAATGGCTTAAGAATGAGAGTCCCGTCCTCTTGGGTGAGAAGCTCGAATCCCCTGTGACTTTTCTTAGTGCCATGCAGTTCTGCAAGAAGTGGCGCAAGCATAAGGAGGATAATCAATTGTATGTAGCCTTTGTTCGTTCTACTCATGTACCTTTTAATTTTGCGGCCAAGAATGACTCTATTTGCATAATACATCTACTTTTATTCCTACATCTACTTCTATTCCAAATGAGTCTACTTCAGATTTGGTTGCCCTTACTAATAATCTGCGACCTAATCTACGTGATCCTTTTTCTTATCCCCCACCCCCGCCGATCCCAACAAGCATCCAAAGCCTACTCGAACGATTTCCGAAAGTTTTGGTTGAACCTCGTGGAGTTCCCACATTGGGTTGGTCAAAGGCGTTGTTCCTCCAAGGGGATGTGTATACCGTATGGGATCCAACGAATTGGAGGAACTTTGAAAGCAGATCGATGAGATGATCGACAAGCGATGGATTAAGCCTGTGAATCTGAATTTGGTGCACCCGTTTTGTTTGTCGTAAAGAAAGGAGGTAAACTCTGTATGTGTATTGATTACTGCGGTCTAAACTGCATCACAAGGAAGAATGTGTACCCATTGCCACGCATAGATGATTTGCTTGATGTTGCAGGTGGGTGCAAGGTTTTCTCCAAGATCGATACCACCAGATTGAAGTCGATCTTGCGGATCAGCACAAGACTGCGTTCAAGACTCGCGACGGGCTTTACGAATTCACCGTGATGCCCTTTGGTCTCACGAATGCATCGGCCACCTTTCAAAGTTTGATGGACAAAGTCCTTCGCGAACAAATTGGTCGATTTATGGTTGTGTATCTTGATGACATTCTGATTTTCAACAAGCCGGTTGAGGAACACATGAAGCACCTTGAGGAAGTGTTCACCATCCTCAAGAAAACGCAGCTCCATCTCAACTTAGAAAAATCTGAGTTTGGGAGGGATAGCGTCATCTATCTTGAGCATCGGTTGTCTGCTGCAGGCCTTGAGCTTGAGGCAACCAAGGTTGAAGTCATAAGCAAATGGCCTCAACCCGCGAACGTTCGTGAATTGCGTTTTTCTTCTTGGTCTTGCATCGTACTATCGAAAGTTTGTGCCCTGATTTTCTATTGTTGCTCGCCCGCTGTCCAAATTAACAAGCAAGAACATATCTCACACGTGGGATGCAATATGGGAGACCCCTTTTCAAGCCTTGAAAGACGCCTTCGTAGGTTATCATGTGCTCCGCATTCCAAACTCACATTCGTAGTCACTACGGATGTGAGCCAACATGGGATTGGCGCAGTGCTGCAACAAGATAACGGCGTTGGCTTGCGGCCGCTCGAGTACTACAGCAAACGCATGCCCAACGAAAAGGTAGTTGCTTCCACCTACATGCGCGAGATTTATGCTTTGAGCGAAGCATTGAACCATTGGAAGCACTATCTTTTGGGACATCATTTCCAAGTCTTCTCATATCATGAGACCTTGAAATGGATCACCAAGCAAACCACCTTATCCCCTACGTTGACTCGCTGGTTCCATAAGATTGACGTTTTTTACTTTGAATTGAAGCACCAGAAGAGCTGTTACAATCGAGTTGCTGATGCATTGTCTTACCACCCCGAGTATATGACTTGCCTTGTGAACTCCTACAATGTCCAGAAGAAATTGTCGGAGGAACTCGTGGAGCATACTGCCAAGGATACGGACCTCGGTCCAATCCTTGAGCTGTTTTGCGCTCACTCGAGGAGTCACCCTGATTTTCAAGAATGTGAAGGTCCGATTTCCCGACGCTACGGAAAGAATGACCGATTGTGTATACCCAACCATGAGCCTCTCCGCACACATTTCTTGGACTTGGCTCACAACCAAAGTGGACACGTTGGCATGGCGAAAACCTACGGAAAATTGTTACAACAATTTGACTGGCTTGGTATGAAAGGATTTGCTGAAAAGTTTGTGGTTGAGTACCAAGTCTGTCAACGAATCAAAACATCAAGGCAAAAGCCCATGGGGCTGCTCAAACCCCTTCCCATTCCCAACGGTCCCATAGAGTCCGTCTCCATCAACTTCACGGACATGGGAAAGGTAAATCAAAACGGTTTTTCGCAAGTGATGGTGATTGTTGATCGTTTCTCCTAAATCTGATTCCATTGCCACCTCATGCCCCAACTGAACTCGTGATCCGTGAGTTCCACAAGAAGTACATTCTACAGTTTGGGACCCCGAAAACCCTTGTGAGTGATCGAGGCCTACACTTCATAAGTATTGAATTGAAGACTTCACGTCCCAACTCCCTGGCCTCAAACTGAGCATGACATTTGGTCGACATCCTGAAGCCAACGGTTTGGTTGAGGAGATTAATCAGACCGTGTTTCAACTTCTCCATGCGTTAATCATTCTGGATCAGGAAACATGGGATGAAGAGTTGTATTCAATAAGCGGGTTGTACACCAACTCCATCCACTCTTCCACCAGCATGACGCCAAATAGGTCGCATTACAGTTGGAAGATTCGTAATCCGCTCTCCTACTTATTCCCCGAACCCCCGGCTGGTCTAACACCTGGCAGGCCTGGCTTCAGCGCCAAGTACGATCGCTTGCTCAAGATTGCCATTGCAGGAATGACCAAGTAACAACACGCCATGATCCATCATGCGAATAAGAAACGCAAACCTTCGACTATCGAAGTGGGAAGTTATGTATGGGTCAAGATGTCTGAATTGTCAGAAGAAGAGGGGGTGTCACGCAAACTTCTCCCTCTCTATTATGGTCCGTGGAAAGTCTTGGATGTGATTGGCAATGATAAGTTCGGTCCTTCATATGCGATTGTCGTGCCTCCTCATCTGCGCACGTAAAGCGTCCAAGTGGTTTATAAATCGTGACGCCAAAACCTTCAAACATCGTGAGAACATGATCCCTTGTGCAATCAATGGCGGGCACGCGACATAAGATTAAAAATCACATCGGGGAAGGACGTAACAGACATATCAGGTTCATTTCATGTACCACCCCTTGGATGGCTTCTATTCGATCTCTAAGAGGGAACTGCTGCGAAGCGCACCTCGCATTGTGAAAGCATACAAACGACAAATAGCTTCCAATGTTGTTCCCAAAATCTATGAAAAACTCACTGCTACTGAGTACTCACGGAATCTCTTTGCTATGTTCGCTTATGACACATTTGTCGGGGACTCATAATGAGTTACTCACTCAAAGGGGCGTCGCTCTTGAGAGGGGGGTAGTGTTAGGACCTGCCAAACACGGACTGAGACACACAACTCATTTCCGAGTTTTGCCAATGGAATGTATGCTTTGCTGAGTTTCCCGTTTGTTGCTAATTTTTCAAGTTTGTATCTGAGTTCTTGTCAATAGTGTGTGTGTGACCTGTGAAGGCCCAAAGGGCAGGTACTTACCTGTGGCCGTGGCATTGAGGGTTGCAACGGGGAAAACACTCGACAGGCAGGGAATGAGGCCCGCAGCACTTGGAGCAACGAAAAAACACTCAAGTAGCAAGTAGGCCGGTACCACACCAGGTAGAGATAGATGTGTCAGGTACTTGAGTTGGCATTTTTAGAGGCCTTGTAGTTATAGGCCAGGTCTCGGCGGGTACCAGTCCTACCAGTCCAACCAGTCTCAATCTAGGGCCTGTACGGGCAATATCACAGTCTGCAATGATGTTTCCCTCCAAATGGGAGGTACCAGTTGCTTGGAGACCGCACAACCTAGAAAGTCACTCGCCAAGAGGCAAGCAGGCCGCTATAGCTCCAGGAGGGGCGAAGTGCTCCTCCACATTGTCGGTGTGCAAGTTTGGCGACACACTGGTTGGAGCGCTGGCTGGAGCAGTGCTAGCATCAGAGCCGCGCTGCTGGGGAGGAGCAACGGTGGTTGCCATCTTCATCACCTTGGTGGGCACTGCAGCAAGAAGGCCCCCAAGTAGGGATAGAGCTACATCAAGAAGCTTCGAGGCAGAGTCAGGCATGGCGGCCTGAACAAGAGCAAACATAGCTGCTTTGAGTTGTCCTTTGGACAGCAGGGCAATGCCCTGGTAGTCCGCCATAGCCCGCGCCTTGGACTAGGAGGAAGAAGGGCGGGCATGGCCATGGAGGACCTCATGTGATACCTGCAGTTGTTACAATCCTCGTCATTTCCCAAGTGCAAATTCACAATGAAAGACAATGCCACCCAATTGTGAAAGAAATGAAAGCACTTGCAAAGAGATAAAGACCAGAGGAGAG